GGGGGGGTGTGTGACAAGGTATGATGGGGACCTGGCTATCCTGTTTTATAAGGCTTTCCTAATATACCTGTATATATTCACATTTTCGGCATCTCTAGTTATTTCCCTCAAGTGTAGGATTATCCCTGACTCATCCATGTAACCCTAACTGCATCCAGACCATAGGGGAGCTTTTGTCCCCCTGAATATACCCATTCATCACTACACTCTAATAAAGTGGTTCAGTGTTCCAACATGGTACTGCAACATTTCAGGCTGTTTTAAGACAAATAAAAAACTCAGAATGGAAGGAAGTTACATTGTGTATAGTTACCTGCATTCCGGCCAGAATAATGGAGACCAGAGTGCAACAGTGGGAGTGATTCTGGGTTCTCATCCTGGTTTCTGCTCTCATTACCCACAAAGGGTTTGGAGGTTTTAATAGCTAGATATCTACTGCGGCTCAAAGGTTAATAAACATAGTATCTGCAATCCTTACAAGTTATGCAAGTTATGCATTCTTGTTCCCATTTTACTGATAGGGAAGCTCAAGAACTGAGACCACATAAAACATGTCAATTTTAATACAAAAAGTATTTGTATTCTGTATTCTTATCTCTTTAGATAAATCGAAACTAGAACTGATAGCTTTTTAAAAATACACAGCCATACACAACCATACACAAATTTATTCACAGCATACCATCACACAGCTTTCCTGAATTTTAAGCCAAGACAGATTTTCTCAAACCTCTTTGTAGAACTTAAAGTGTCACTACAGATCCAAAGACTGACCACCTGATTTCCCTAGTTAATACCCTCATTTGTAATTATGGAGCCACTCCAGGTGATCACTGTATTACATTCTCATACTACTGATTAATAGATTCTACTTACAACTTGCATTTTGGTTGCCACAAGCTCTCACTTTATTATTCCAGCAGTTTTTTACAACATAAAAATGGTGCACAGTTTACTGGAATTCTCAATAGCATGCCCTTACTGCAGCAGCATCTGATACTGCCAGAATAGGAGTTCTATTAAGTGAGACAGTAAGGAAAGAGCATTCTCCACATAGCAGGCCAGGATGCCTTGGCATCAGTCTTCTGGCTCTCCTCTCCACTTACTGTCAGGAGGCTAGGAAGAGGAAAGAAGCCAACAATTTTTTAAAACTCTCACTCCTGCAAAAAAAAAAAAAAAAAAAAAAAAAAAGCAAAATCTCTCTTGTGGTCAAGTGCTTAGCCAACAGACCAATCGTTCCAATTAGTCAAACTGTGGTTCCATTGCTTTTAAGCACCAATTTGGTAACTTCCCATGTAGGATGTAGGTACCAGGTATTTTTATTAGATTTAAAAAGAACAGTAAAAATAATCCAAACATATAACCATTCAAAAACCCACTTATAATACCGTAAAGAAGACATCACTCTGCCTGTTCCAGTTGTTCAAATGCTAGTGTAATAAATGCCCTTTGATCTTCCATTGATTTGGCTCAACATATTTTAGAGACTCCACATTTGTTTGAAATCATTACCTCTCATTATCAAACATGAAAGTGTGGACCTTTGGGTTGCTAAGACTCATCCAAGTTTTCTAATGTGACATATGCAGATAAGTACACAAACATACGGATAGCTTTAAAAAAAAAAAACAACAACAACACTGCCAAGAGTTGCAATTTGGAGAAACTTTCAAGTCCTTAATTCAGCCCTTGGGACTCTAATAAATGATTCCTTTTATATTCCAGTGCAAGAGAGCTCCTTGTAGACAAGAATCAGGCTCAACAACCTAAACAGAGTACACACCTAAGTACGTGGCATTTGCAGGTGTGATTAAGCCATGATCAGAGCAATTTTTAAGGAAGTATTTGAAAATGACTGCTTTGCAGAGGGGGAAAAAAAGCCTAAGAGGTGGGAATTTCATCTCCTGCATCTTTTAAAAACCCTCAAAACCTTATATGCAATCAGCGCTTGAGCAACAGAGTAACAAAGTTGCTATCTTAAGGTAACTCTTCCATGCAGAAATTAACTGGTTATGTTTCTCTCAAAAACTGAGTCAAACGACAGGAAAGAAGGAAAGCCTTTTTAAAAAAAACTTGTATGAGGAGGATGTAAATTAATCCCTGTTTACCTTAAAAGAAAAAAGCAATCCAGATTCTTCTTACACTTTCTGTCTTTCTGAATGACTGAAACACACTATCCCAAGTCACAAATGACTACTGAGCAATATTTTCTTTTTCTAAGTAAGCTCCCCAATACCAGATGCAGTCACTTCCTTTGGAAGTGCCCTGTGACTGGGGCCATGTGGTTAACATGTGGCAACAAGCATAATGCTTACCCATAATAAAATCAACACCCAAACCCAAATGTGGGCAATTATGTCGTTCTAAAATAGGTTTTCACATTTGGAATATCTAGATGGGGGCTGGCTCATTAACTTTCACGTCTCGTTTTTAGATTAAATTATATTCGTTTAATGAATCCAAGAAATGATGTGTGTTTCGTTGATTCATGGAAAGCGAAACCTAGCTGCCTCTTTTCGAATTGCCATGTAAGACAAGTAATTTAGCCTTTGAACGACGATAAAAATTCAAGGATCGGGAAGCTATCAAGTATAGAGAGTAAGAATTTCAAACATTCTCAGACCTTCTGGCAGGGTATCCCCTCACTCTAACCGCAAGCGCGTCTTCAATGACCCTTTTCTAAGCCCATCAGAACACTTGGCACATGGCCCGCCAGGCCCACTACCCCAGCACATGGCCTGCATAAATACCCAACCCCCCCGCTCCCCATCTGCACTAGGGTCTTTTCCCCACCACAGCCACCTTCCAGTAAGTTCCCGCCAAATCGACCCTCCTTCCCGCATTCCACGACCCTTCAAGTCTCAGGGCCTCAGTCCCAAGGGCGCACGGGCCTGGGCCTCCTCTGCTTTAAGGCTGCGGCCTGGGGTGCGGCCTTGGCCGCAGAAGAGGCCCCGACGCGCAGCGGCCCGGCTTCCCAAGACGGAAGGAAGGGCGGAAGGGTCGTCCGACTGCGGCAGGCCGGAAACCTGAACCTGAAGCAGCGGTGGCAGCCGAGTTTCCCGCCTGACGCAGCAGCAGAGCAGGCCAGAGTGCGGCCGCCATCGACGCCTCACCGCTCCCTACCCTCTCCGTCCGCCTCGGCCAGGGCCCGCACCGTGGCTCCCCCAAGCCCAGGCCCCACTCCAGGCCCTCACCTTCGGCGTCTGAGCTGGCCCGCAGCGGCGGAGACTCGGACGCAGGCCCGGAGAAGTCGGCTCGCAAGGTAGCGGCTGTTTATTTTCAGGGTCCTTGCCTGCGCCACACGCGGGTCTGCACACGGCCCCACACACGCCGCTGCGCACGGCTCTCCTCCGCCTCGCCCACGCGGCCAATCAGCGCGCGGAGCTCCGCGGTCCAATCAGAGTCGCCCAGAGGAGGGCCGCCCAGCTTGAGCGCGGCGTGGGGCGGGGCGGGCTTCTACCTCGGCGCGCCGCGGCCTTTCCCGCCGTGCCCCGCGCGCGGCCTTTCCCGCCTGGAACCTCGGCCCCCGACCGTTCTTGGGCTCTTCCCGCTAGGTTCCAGGCCCCTCTCGACCCCGTCCCGGCCTTGGTGATCTTTCGCGGCAGCCGGCGACGAGGGATGTCAGAGGGCGGGTCTGAGTGAAATGGCTGTGATTAACGTGGGGTCGGGGAAAATTCCGGTCCCTTTTGGGGCTCGGAAAAAAGCGTCTGCCGCTAGGCCTTTGGATGGTTCTGGCTTTGGGAGCCAGGACCCATTTCCTAATACACACGTCTCAGTTTGGGAAGAGCCCTGGTTGCTAAGTGACGGAAGTTTCTGTGGCTGAAGGTCACGGGCCCTGAGGTTTGTTCTGGTTTTTGTGTGAGCCTCGGCAGAGCCTGGAACGCCTTGCTATGTTCACCTCTAACATCTACCGCCACCACCAACCCCCAGACATCCCTTTCTCCCAGAAAAGTACCTGGTGAGGGTGTGAAGATGGCGAAGGGATGGCACCGAGACCTCTTTGCCTCACAACACACCTAGTGACTGTTCAGCGCACTGATGAGTGACATTCCCTGCGACTTAAGGGGTAACACGGAGTGCCAGGAGAGCCATCTGGCCTGGGCTATCATGTTCAGGAATGGCCTTCAGTTGAGATTTGGTATCTTCTCCAAAAAAAGATTGGCTATGTAGTCAGATACTTTTCCAGGATGCAAACAATTTAAATTGCTGAATATGAACTAAAATGTTAGAGAATTTTGTGTACCATTTTGGAAGGGCTTCTGTTACAAACAGGAAAAAAACAAGCGTCCCCAGCCTCTCGAGCTCTAAAAGCCCTGAAGCGACTATAGTCTCCTACTGAGCTTAATATGCTTCTCAAGGTTGGTGTGCAGCCCATGTTGTTGGCTGGTATAGCCCAGAAATTTTCTTTCTTTTAATGACCATCTTCTTTGAAATTAACTGTACAGATCTATCGAGATGTTAAAACTGATGAATGGTCCTTGTGTGTAGCATTAGTGGGTACACGTGGGTAGCTACAAAGACTGGAACTGTTCTTTGCCCTTAGTTTCATCTCACTGAATCCTCCCGGTCCCCAGGCTGTATGGCTTCTGAAATCATGTTTATGAGGAGGCAAAGCAGTGAAGAGCACAGGTGTTGAGAATCAGGCATTAAACCTGGTTTCAAATCACTAGGTGCTGACTCGATCATTGTAGCGCATTTAGCAGATTGTACGCAACATAGTGCTCAATAAAGGGTAGCAATTATCAAAGAGTGAATGAACTATCTCAAGGACCAATGATTTTTAAGCTGTTTTTAACCAAGACGATTAAAGTAAAAATATTTCAAAATTCAGTAGGAGGTGGTCCCATTTCCAATCAGATTGAATTGCCCAGCAGTTTCTGTATTGAGGTTTAATACCAGTTACCATAATAAAACAGTGTTTTGTGCTTCTGTGGTTTTATTACCAAGAAGCTTAACACAGCTTTATAGATTTCCCCTGATTAATCTTTATAATATCTTGAGGTAAGTACTAGTGTGGTAATTGCAGACACTTAAGTAGTGATTTCCTAAGCCCCAGCAGTGAGTCAGTACAATGCAAGAGGCTATATGGAGGAAGTCCACCCTGGGTGCATCTGCATCATGCCAGGAAGGTTAGTTAAATTGTCATAGTAACCATAAATTCATATTTTTGACTTGATTTTTGTTTATCATCCCAACCACAATGCTACATAAAATGTTTGATATTTATTATAGACCCAGGGACAGAATGTTCCTAATGTTAAAAGAAAAATGAGGGTGGGTGTGAAACAGATAGTGAACATATGATCTTCTGTAGGTTTCAAAAGACTTAAGTGGAAGGAATGGAAGCATAATATGGTCTTTGTTGCTAGGCTCTAGGAGTAGTAACAGGTAATGGCTCTTCTCCACCCGACATCCAGCTTTCTGTAGTTACTATTATTATTAACAAAGCCAGACTGATCATGAGGCATTCTGTCTCCAGAGGTCTATGATGAAATTTAACTACAGTAGTTTGTGTTGTCTGGTTACCCTTGGGTACACCTATTTCACTAGAGATGTTTGAAAATTAGAAAGGAAAAAGGCAGCCCACTCAGAAGATAAACTGCCAACCATATATGAAGAAAGAGTCTCCTATTACATTTCCTTCCCCTGGAAATGTATTTTCTCTCCCTCCTCCCTTCCAGTAGTCAGTCTTACCAACACTACTATGCTCAGCAATGTGTTACAAAGGTGACTAGTTCAGACAAACCTTGCCCTTGAAGATCTTGCAAGATGAAAAAAGCCATAAGAAAGTATTAAGTATCCTGAGGGAGGACTAGCTAAAATGCTATGATTCAGCATGATTCAGGATTCCTTAAAATGAGTACGAGTTGAGCAGCAGCACCTGCCAACTTTTAATTTCCGCTAAAATGCCCAACTGCAATAGTACATGCCTTAAATTCTGCTGTTAAATGGAGAGGATATCGTATATATTGTTCTAAACCTTCAATGTCTTGTTTTCTCTGCCTGCAGGGAAATAGTCTCTGTGACTTGACCTGGAAAGTATGCAACTAAGGTTAAAGAGCATATATCGTTTTTACCTCTCCTGTCTGCTCCTGCAACTAAAACACAGTTTATTAAGCTAAATCCTGAAATTGAAATCAGTTATACTAATAATAGGTAATAGTGTATATAAAGTTCTTTAGAAGGGCCTGGCATAATTACTATTAAAGTGTTATCTATTATTTTTGTTATTGTTATTGAGTGCTTATTATATGCCAGTCATTGTTTATAATCTCTTTTTAAGTTTACACAAAACCTCTATGAGATAAGTACTTTTATTATCCCCAGGAGGAAATAAAATAATTCCAGAGAATTGAAGTATTCTGCTAAAGGTCAAAGAGTGAATAAATGATAGTGCAGGCTTCAAACCAAGGCAACCTAAGTGCCTAAGCACAAAGCTTCCAGCCTCCCAGTAGTGATTGAAACCTAATCCTACAATTTTCCATTGACTCCTTAAAGTGACAGTATAGAGAATATTAACTGTTGATAAGGGAAATATGAAACACCAACTAATAATTTAGTGAGCAGTCCATCATTTGGCTTCCTCCTCTATGACCTTGAATTGAACTTCTCTCTACTTCTGCAAAATAACTGGCAAGAGAACTTTATTTACAAATAATTTTTAAAGGTTCAAAGTGAAACCACCCATTTTTTTCGTAAAAGAAAAGCAGTTGCATTCATTTAAAAAAAGTAATTTCATCTTTTCATTATTTAGTTAAATCTTGAAATACGCAGTGAATAGCAAAATAACGGTGTTTGCATGTTTTCCACGTAGAACTTTACAAAATGTCTTCTGTTGTTTTTTGAGAGAGCATTATAAATTTGATCATTTGGCTCTCATAATCTACAAAAATAATGTAACTGACTTTTCAAGATTAAATTGAAAAAGAAGCACTATATATTTGGGTGAATTAGAATCTAACATCTAGAAGAGTATTTAGCCTAATCTCAGAATATTTCATTTAATCCCCTCATTTAAATGAGAAAAAGGCTATAGAGTTACTCAGGGTTCCCACAAGTTCCCAAAAGAACTGATGTTTTTGACATGAACAAACCAGGGTGCCACCCACATCTCATAAGGAAGGAGCTGTTAGGGCATTTTTTTTTTTTAAGTTTATTTATTTAAGTAATCTCTACGCTTAACGGGGTTCCGAACTCATTACCCTGGGATTACGAGTCTCGCAAGCTCTTCCAACTGAGTGACTGAGAGCCCAAAGGAGCTGTTAGCTATGCTTGTGACCTGGTTAACTCAAGTAACTGCAGTTAGTAAGAAAAGGAGAGCCCAAATCTAATACTGTACACTTGTACCATGCATCTCTAGCCTTTTTCTTTGGAAATTAACACAAATGGCCATTCTCATTTATGAAGTAGTCGTTTATGAGTTTGACAAGGATGAATAAACAATCAATTTCTAAATCTTGAGAAATGTACTCAGACTTCAATATAAGAAACATTAACTTTAGGCATCCAAATCGGCAAGGAGGAAGTCAAACTTTCACTCTTCGCAGATGGCATGAGGTACTATGTGGAAAACCCAAAAGACTCCACCAAAAAAACCTGCTAGAACTGATATATTAATTCAGCAAAGTCACAGGATATGAAATCAATGTACAGAAATCAGCTGCATTTCTATATACCAATAATGAAGGAGCAGAAAGGGAAATCAAGGAATCAATCCCATTTACAATTGCACCAAAACCTATAAAATACCTAGGAATAAACCTAAGGAAAGAGGTGAAAACTCTGTATACTGAGAACGGTAGAAAGTTTATAAAAGAAATTGAAAAAGACACAAAAAAATGGAAATATTTTCTATGCTCCTAGATTGAAAGAACAAACATTGTTAAAATGTCAATACTACCCAAAGTAATCTACATATTCAATGCAATCCCTATCAAAATAATACCAGCATTGTTCACAGAGCTAGAACAAAAATTCTAAAATTTGTATGAAATCAGAAAAGACCCCAAGTAGCCAAAGTAATGTTGAAAAAGAAAACCAAAACTGGAGGCATCATAATCCTGGACTTCAAGCTGTATTACAAAGCCATAATCATCAAGACAGTATGATTGTGCCAGACAGATTCTGGCACAAAAACAGACACATAGATCAATGGAACAGAATAGAGAACCTAGAAATGGCCCCACA